CAGTATGGAGAATCCTTGGAAATCTGGGAATGGAACCACCATTTGACCCAGCTATTCCCCTTCTCAGACTATATCCAAAAGACCTAAAAAGTGCATACTACAGGGACACAGCCACATCAATGTTTATAGCAGCACAATTCACAATAGCTAGACTGTGGAACCAACCTAGATGCCCTTCAATAGATGAATAGATAAAAAAATGTGGCATTTATACACAATGGAATATTAAGTAGCACTAAAAAATAGCAAGATAATGGCATTTGCAGGGAAATGGATGGCATTAGAGCAATTATGCTAAGTGAAGTTAGCCAATCCCTAAAAAAACAAATGCCAAATGTCTTCTCTGATATAAGGGGGTTGACTCAAAATAGAGTAGAGAGAAAGAGCATGAGAAGAAGATTACTACTAAATAGGGAAGAGAGAAGGGAGGGAATGTGAGGGAGAAGAGGAATTGCACGGAAGATGGAAGGAGACCCTCAGCATTATACAAAATACATGTATTATGATGTGAAGGGAAAAAAAGAGAAATGTGCCACATTAGATTGGGTAGAGAGAGGTGATGGGAGGGGAGGGGAGGGGAGGGGGGATAGAAAGGGCAGCAGAATAAAATAGTCACTAGTATTGCTGTACGTATATATGTGGCTGTATAACCAATGTGATTCTGCAACCTGTACACATGGAAAAATGAGAATTCATACCCCATTTGATTCAAATGTATGATATGTCAAGATCATTGTATTGTCATGAGCAACTAATAAAAAAAGAAATAAAATACTTGGAAGTTAATGAAGGAGGTGAAAGACCTCTATAGAGAAAATTATAAAATATATGTGTGCTACCTGTGCCCAACTGTTTTGTTTCTAAAATTCATCTGGAAGGATAAGAGAACCAAAATAGTCAAAGCAATTCTAGCAATAAAAGAGCCAGAGATACCACAAAGTGACAGATTAGAGAAAAGTTTTATTTCTCATTCCTTGGTGACCTGGGATTCAAGCAGCAGGAATACTGCTTCTCTGAAAGAGGGAGTTTGCTAAAATTCAATATTGGACACTCAGAGTGACTTAGAAACTTAGAATGTCAGGGTACATTAAACAAGGAAAAGGGAAAACATTGTAGTTAGTGAGAACTAGCACAGGAGAGAATCCACTGAGAAATACAACCAACAGTTTCACAGTGGAAAATCCTGAAATCAGAGGGGCAGCCTGACCTGGGCTGATGCAGAGGCTGTACTGCATAATATATGACACAGGAAAGATGTCTCATAAATTGTCCACAGAGAACTCCACCATGCGGCCTGCACAATGGTTTCATTAATGAGGTTCTTGGCATAAAAGTTAGTTTGAAGAGGTCGAAATAAAACACACAGACTCAGTTACCTTATTTCTATTGCCAGGTTCGAGACGGCTCCCCTCTCTGGTTCCCTCCTCTAACCGCCCAGCAGGGCAGCAAGGATTACTCAGGGCTAGCAGGAGAGAGAGAGAGTGAAAGAGAGTGAACAGCCTGGGAGTAGCTTTTTATTGGGGAACAAGAGATTCAGGGGAGAATTCCATCCAATGAAGGTTGAGGGGGGGCTGCACCCCAAGGTCAGGGTCAGTGATTGGGTCCCCGGGGTCAGTGGTCAGGCACACCCCCACACGGATGGGCTCTCTCATCAGGAAAGGGCCAGGAAAGCTTCCACACAGCCAGAACGCCTCAGACCCTTAACAGGAGCCACCCAATCACGTGTCAGGATGGCTCCCCACAGAGAACCAAAGTAGGAGATACCTTGAAGCAACTGTGCTGTGTTGGCTGGTGATTTGGGACCCTGGATCCAGGCTATCTGAGCTGGGTCTGATACACATTCCTGGCAGACACCTGCTGCATGTCCTAGACTGTACCAAACAAATCAAGAGCTAAACGGACATAGAAGGAGAGTATTTTATGAAAGGTAATACAAGTCAGAGAAGCCAAAGGGAATCTGGCTTCTTTTCCCACTTTGAGTCTGGTGGCTCACAGGACCATCTAAATTGGGTCAGGAATTTGAACACTCAGGGACTAAGACCAGGAAAGGTAGGGTCCATGGATAGCAGAAGGGGCAAAGGATTGGCTCCCTTATCTCACAAATGGAACCCAGAGGAAATTCCTGGGGTACAGGCTCCCAGTGTAGATTGGCAACTGTCAAGCCCTATAGGTGTGTTGATTTAATATCTCCATATTGGATGCACCAGTTGAAGCAAAAACTTCTTAATAAAATACTAGCAAATTGCATACAAAACATATTAAGAAGATAGTGCACCATGATAAGTGGGTTTCCTCTCAGAGACACAAGTTTGGTTTAACATATGAAAGTAAAAAAATGCAGTTCACCACATAAGCAGACATAGACAAGAATCACATTATTATCTCAATATAGAGAAATAGAAAGCATTTGACCAAATTCAGCATCCATTCATGTTCAAAACACAATAAAAACTAGGGACAAAAGGAACATACTGCAACAGTGTAAAAGCCAAGGCCTACATTATTCTAAATGGAGAAAAAAATGAAACCATTCCCTCTAAAAACAGGAAGAAGACTGGGATGCTGTCTTTTACCACTTTTATTCAACATAGTTGTTAAAAGTCTAGCAAAAGCAATTAGGCAAAAGAAAAAAATTAAAGGTATAGGAATAGGAAAACAAGAACTCAAACTTCCTTTATTTGCAGACAACAGGATCTTATATTTAAAAGACTCAAAAAATTCCATCAAAAAAACTTCTAAAACTCAAATTCCACAAAGTAGCAGGGTATAAAAATACAGCCATAAATCAATTTCATTCTCATACACTACTAATCAGCTGAAAGAGAAATTAAGAAAACTATTCCATTCACAATAGCCTCAAAAAATAGAAATAAAATACTTGGTAATTAGTATAACAAAATAGGTTAAGGTCCTCTACAGTGAAAACTACAACTAAAGAAAGAAATTGAAGACCTTAGAAGATTTTTATAGATCTCCTATGTTCTTGGACAGGAAGAATTAAAATTGTTAAAATGGCCATATTACCAAAAATGCTAAAAGATTTAATGCAATTCTCATTAAAATTCCAATGATGTTCCTCACAGAAATAGAAAAATCAGTCATGAAATTCACTTGGAAAAATAAGAGGTCCAGGAGAGACAAAGCAATCTTTTTCAAGAAAAGTGAAGCAGGAGACATCACAATACCAGACCTTAAATTATACTTCAGAGCGATAGTAACAAAAATGACATGGTATTGACACCAAAATAGACATGTGGATCAATGATACAGAAGATACAGAGACAAACTCACATAATACAGTTTTCTCATACTAGACCAAATGCCAAAAACATATATATTGGAGAAAAGATAGTCTCTTCAACAAATGGTGCTGGGAAAACTGAAAATCCACATAAAGTAGAATAAAATTTAACCCCTGTCTCTCATCCTTCACAAAACTCAACTCAAAGTGGATCAAAAATCTAGAATTAGACCAGAAACCCTGCAACTTCTAGGAGAAAATGTAGGCCTAACACTCCAACATGTTGGCTCCAGAAATGACTTCCTTAAAAAGACTTCTAAAATACAACAAATTAAAAAAAAAAAAAACAACAAATGGTTGGGCATCAAATTATAAATTTTCTTCACAGCAAATGAAACAATCAAGAGCATGATGATAGAGCCTATAGAATGGAAGAAACTCTTTGCCACTTGCACCTAAGATAGGGCATCAATATCCAAAGATATAAAAAGAACTGAAAAAAATTAATGCCAAAAATACAAATAACTCAATCAATAAATTGACAAAAGAACTGAACAGACACTTCACAGAAGAAATATGAGTGAGCATATGAAAAAATGTTCAACATATCTAGCAATTAGAGAAACGCAAATTTAAACTACAATGAGATTTCATCTTACTCCAGTCAGAATGGCAATTATCAAGAATACAAGTAACAATTTTGGCAAATATATGGGGGGAAAGTACACTCATGCATTGCTGGGGGAATTGCAAATTGGTGCAACCACTCTGGAAGGCACTATGGAGATTCCTCAACAAACTAGGAATGGAACTACCATTTGACCCAATTATACAATTTAAAGTGCAAGAAAAAAACCAAAAATCAATAAATAGGATAGCATCCTATTAAAAAAACATTCTGTATATTAAAGGAAAAATTAAGAGCATGAAGAGAGACCCTACAGAATGGGTAAAGTCTTTGCTTTGTGCTCCTCAAGGCATTAATATTCAGAATACATATAAAGAATTCCAAAAACATATTCAATTAATGGGCATAAAACTTAAAAAGATACTTTCCAAAGAATTGAAATGACCAATAAATATATGAAAAAATTCTCAGCATCTCTAGGAACCAGGAGAATGCAAATCAAAATGATGTTGAGATTTTTAACTCACTCCAGTCAGAATGGCAATTGTCAAGAATATAAATAACAAGTGTTGGTGGACATGGGGGGGGGAAATGTTACACTCATACATTGTTGGTGGGACTGTAAACTGGTGTAACTTCTGTGGAAGGCAGTATGGAGATTTCTTCAAAAACTAGGAATGGAACCACCATGTGACTCAGCTATCCTGCTCCTTGGTACATATCCAAAAGATCTAATATTGGCCTACTAGAGGGATACAGTCCCATCAATGTTTATAGCAGTCCAGTTCAAAATGGCCAAGTTATAAAAACAGCTTAGATGCCTGTCAACAGATGAATGGATAAAGAACATGTGATGTCTACATATACCATGGAGTTTGGTCAGCCATAAAGAAAAATAAAACTATGGGATTTCCTGATAAATCAATGGAACAGAAACACATTATGCTAAGTGAAATGAACCAGACCCAGAAAGTCAAAGGTCAAATGGTCTCTCTGATATGAGGAAACTAGACCAAAATAAGAGGAAAAGGGTGTGGAATCCCATGAGAATAGAAGAGAGATTAGTAGAACAAAGGAAGAGGCCCCCCCCTCCCCCGGCTGGGGATGTGACTCAAGTGGTAGCACGCTCACCTGGCACGTGTGGGGTGTTGGGTTCAATCCTCAGCACCACATAAAAATAAAAGATGTTGTGTCCACTGAAAGGTAAAAAATAAATATTAAAAATTCTTTCTCTGGGTCTCTCTCTCTTTACAAAAAAAAAAAAAAGGAAGGGGACTCTGGGGAAGGGAGAAGGGTTGGTAAAAGGGAGGAATTGTGAAAGGAAATTGACCAAAGAATACAATATATACATTTGAGTACACTGCAATGAATTTTACTGTATAGATATGTATGTGTGTCTATAAGGCAGTATTTTAAAAAATTATAAATAGAAGGAATACCAGTAGAGTAGAAGAAAGAGAATAGAGGAAGAGGGGAACAGAGGAAAAGAGGAAGTACTGGGAACTGAATTCAACCAAATTATATTCCATGCTTTTATAATCATGTCAAAATGAATCCTGTTTATAGACAACTAAAAAGAACTAATAAAAAAATGAATACCTGAAACCCATTCCAGTTAAAGCCTCATATCAGGGCTTTGGTACAAGGCCTAAATTTGGTATCCATATTATCCAATAATCTGCCATCCCCTGGAATCCTTCTAACTGTGAGTCCTGGGGACCTGAATGCCGTCAGTGGCCTTCTTCGCTTCATCCACTAGAATGATGATTAATCCAGCTGGTATTATCCATTCAAAGTTCACAAGTTATGTACATATCATAGTAGGATCCCCTGGTTCAACTGTAATATTCTTAAATATTTAGTCAATATTTTTAAAAAATGTAGGCAAATTCCTAAATTCTTTGGGGGAAGTGCAGCCCAACAGTATTAGAAGGTGGTTTGTAATTTTCTAAATTTTAGGTGAACATAATACCTTTATTTTATTTCTTTATTTTTATGTGGTGCCTCACATGTGCTAGGTAAGTGTTCTGTCACGGAGCTACAACCCCAGCCCCTAGAGGATTGTTTGAGGTCTATCCACTCAAAGGTAAAAATTGCCATTCACTTTTTAGTGGAATGTAAATGAAGGCACATTTTCAATCAAGAACAGTCCCCAGAAATGGACCCTAAAAATAAATAAATAAGTCAAGGGCAGTAAACCATCTGCTTTCTGCGGGCCAGGTATTCAGAAGAGTATAAGAGTATAGGCACTATAGGATGAATGTCTTGGATAATTTTATTAAAGCCCAACAAACTGTGAACAAAGTGATGTTCCTCAAAACACATTTCTTTACAGGTAGAATATCATCATCACAAGGTGACTGAAAAGGCTGCATCAGGTAGCACTTTACACATCAAATTCCTTCAAATCACACGTGCCAAAAGAGGCACTGTTTTAAGCAATGTGGTGGTATACCTCCTTTTAAGAGGATTATAATAGGCAGGTATGTTTAGTTTTACCTTAAGTCCCATCAGCCCACACTGCTTGATTAACATGCTGATAGATTTCAGGGCATGTTGAGTCACCCTCAGATAGCTTCTTCTTCATCAACATCAGCTAAAGATTAAGTGCCTGCTCAGGTATCACTTGTACCCTTGTATTCTATCCTGTTTGTGAATAAGGTTTCTTGAGCATTTAGTTTGAATAGTAGCTCCTACCTAGGAGTGGAACCAGACTTTCTGGAACAGAGTTAAGTTCAGATCTCCTGAGCTGCATTCCAGAAGCTGCAGGAAAGCCTAGCTCTGGGGATTTTCATATGTTCCTGTAATAGGTATAATTCAATTAGTTTTTTTGGTCAGTGGGGTGTTAGGACTGAATATGTAACTTCAGTATTAGTCAGGAAGTCTACAGATCTATTCCTGTCAATTGTACCCAGGGTTCTTGTAGAGAGATAGTGATTGAAGATGAACAGGTCATGGGAGCCCCCAGGTCTCTTCAGTCTTCAGTGAAGTAATCATTGACATCCATTAGCTGACCCTTTGGCTCTTTACTGAGCTGGTTCTTTTAAGAGTTTGGGTAAGTTTTTCATCCAATGCCATTTTTATTATGGTACATGTATTGTACATGTATTCTTTAATAATGTCCTTTTTCCTTCTCATGTAAAGTCCCCTGGCTTTAGATGGCCATCCTTGAATGTTTTAGATGACAATGGTGACCCATCCTGGTCATTATAGGCCTTGTAGGCTAAGTCCACTACCTGGGAGGGGTTCATGACCATTGCTCCTTCAATTTTTTGAAACTTGCACCTGTCAGGAGTGCTTTGTTCAATAAAGGTCAAAATATTGGCCACCTATACTTTCTCAGGGCCTTCTGGGTCTAAGTTGGTATATTGTCTATATATGACTGATATACTTTTTCTATCCAGGTGAGGGGTCTTTGGTCTTCCCCTGTTGTAGCATTTTGTTTAAATTCTTTGGCTTGGATACCTCCCACCTGAGTCCTCTCGGGATCTCCTTACAGTAGTGGTCCAGTCAGATCCTATTGTCTTTTTCATTTGGATTCTAATTTTGTTTCTCAAGTGGTTTTTCCTGCTAGATCCAGATTATTTTGGGTGCCAGCCTGATGAAAACTCTGTACTCCTCATTAGCCTTATTTCAGATATTTCTTATCAGCAGTTAATATTATATTAAGTAAAGCCTGTTTAAGGGCCCAAGTGGGGTGGTGGGTAGCAATGATGTTAGAAAATAGTTTCAGCAACTTTTGAGAGTCATTATAGTAAAGTGGGGTAGAGCTTTTCTAGCTTAATAGATCAGAAGTTGAAAATGGGGTATAGGTCTAGAAATAGCCAGTTGACTGAGCTTGGGCATTTAGCTCTGCCCTTCTCATGGGGCACTATCTTAGTGGGAATTGCCCTGCACTGTTTGGGTAGATGCCTTGTCCAAATTTAGTGTCCTGATGGGTTTTAAAAGGGGAGACCATTTCAGACTCATCATCATATTGAGAAGGGGGTATTTCCTCTGAAGCTCCAGTGGCTCCATTGACTGGAGGGAGAGCCAGCTGAAGTCCAGCTAAGGTAAGTGGAGTACCTGTTGGAACTGGGAAGCTTCCAGGTTTATAGAGATTACCATCGTTATGTCTTACCCTTTGACATCATCTGGCTGAAGCCTCTGTTTTGGTGCCCAAGATCTTTGCACAATGAGTTTAGACCCTTCTTTAGAGAAGTATTGATTATGTAAAAGCATTAAATAAAGGTTGAACTTATGACATTTTATCCAGTTTCCTTGATCTTTGACAAAACAATTCTAGTTGCAAAATAATAATTTAGTGACCCATTCAAAGGTCATCTTTTCTTTGAGTCTAACATACTTATGGGCTATGCTGTGTTAGAGTAGTAAGTCATCTTTTTCTTGGCCATAGGTTCATAACTATAAGCATAGCAGGGAGCTAAATTTCCCCTAATAGTATCCCCTATAGTTACATAGTACAACAGCTATCTCCCAAACACGCTGGTTCCTTTTTGTACCTTATATCTTTTTTCAATATTTGGTACCACAAATCTGTGAATTTCAAGTTTCCCATCAAATGACTTAGGGCCAAATATCTCAACAGAGCTCAAACGACAAAGAAGTGAGAAAATAAAGGCCAAGAACCTCTCTTTTTAAATTTTTTAAAATTCTGATTTGTTATATATGACAACAGAATGCATTACAATTCATGTTACTTATATAGAGCCCAATTTTTCATATCTCTGGTTATATACAAAGTATATTCACACCATTCATGTCTTTATACATTACTTTGGATAATTATGTCCATCACATTTCACCATCATTTCTAACCCCATCCCCCCTCCCTCCCCTCCTACCCCTTTGCCCTATCTAGAGTTTGTCTATTCCTCCCATGCTCCTCCTCCCTATCCCACTATGAAACAGCTTGATGCTGGTTATTTTAATGAATCATAATAATAGCCATTATTTATCAGGTGGTTAGTATGTGCCCAATACTGTTAAAACACTTCATGAACTAAATTTCTTTTTAAAGTCATGTTTGTTGAGATCTAATTTATATATGGTACAATTTTCCCTATTTAGTTATATGAATTTTGATAACACAAATATAAAAAAATGACAACATATAAATATGGATACATTGTACTACAGTGAAGGTACAGAATATGCTACCTTGTTCTCCTTTACTTTTATTTAAATAAATAGAGAAATTAATTTTAATATATTTTAATTTTACCCAGTGTATTACCAACATAATTTGCAAAGAAAATAATTGTAAGATATTTTATGTTATTTTTCTTTGTCCTAGCAATTTTTTGGAATCTAATGTCTATTTAACACATAGCCCACCTCAATTCAGACTAGACACATTTCAAAAACTCAGTAGTCTCATGTAACTAATGGCTGCCATATTGGCACCTTTCTCCATATTTCATCTTTTGGTGAGACATATGCTGTAAGCTTGGGCATTTAGCTCTCCCCCCTCTCATGGAGTACCCCCCCCCCTTGTTATGTGGTTTCTTGCTGAGTTCCATCAGAAAGGGATACCAAAGAGATGAACTTAATACTAGAGCGAGATGTTTTATTCTTCCCTATAAGACTCTATTAAGACTGTGAGTGGTTTATACATGCTTTTGGTGGAAATAACTTCAGCTAGGTTACCTTCTCTTAAAAGTTTTTTTAAAGAAAATATTTGTGTAACTTTGTGAAGAGAAATGGAAAATAAAAAAACCTGAAAAATTATGATATCGTAGTTAAAATTTTTATAGGTAAAAATTTATCCAAAAGAGTTGAAAGAGACATAAATTATATTACCAGTCATTTTTGTTTATTTTTGGTATTTAGCTTGACTTAGTTTATACTTTGGTTGGCTTTTCCTTTATTGTAGTTCTTCCCTTTGCCAATTTTCATGGTTATTTTTCATTTCCTCCTCATGGGATATTTTGCCAAGAATGTTCTGTAGTGAAGGCTTTTGCTGTAAATTATTTTAACTTTTGTTTGTCATGGAAGTTTATTTCATCATCAAATTTGAAGCTTAATTTTGCTGGTTATAAGATTCTTGGTTGGCATCCATTATCATTTAGAGCTTGGTATATATTGTTCCAGGATCTCCTAGCTTTGAGAGTCTGGGTTGAAAAATCTGCTGAGATCCAAATTGGTCTTCCCTTATGGGTAATCTGATTTTTCTCTCTTGTGACCTTTAAAATTC